CCCTGCTCCAACAGCACGACGGCTTCCTGCTCTGCTGCTTCTCCGCGCACTCCCTAGTCCCGGCGCTGCGCGCGCGCACGCGCAAGCCCGTGGTTGGCATTCTGGAGGCGGCGGTGTTCCAGGCGCTGTCGCTGCTCCCCGACGTTGCGGGCACGTTTGGGATTGTGAGTACTGGGAAGCAGTGGGAGCGAATGCTGACGGAGGCGGTGGAGGAGCTGCTGGGGGGGGGGAAGAGGTTGGGGGGCGTGGAGACGACGGGGCTGGATGCGGACCAGTTGGAGGGGGCGGAGGATTTGGAGGAGAGGATGAGGGAGGCGACGAAGAGGGTTGTGGGGAAGGGGGTTAAGGTGGTGGTGTTGGGGTGTGCGGGGATGGTTGGGCTGGAGAAGGTTGTGGGCGAGGCGGCGGGGGAGGGGGTGAGGGTTGTTGATGGGGTTAAGGCGGGCGTGGGTATGCTGTGTGGGATGCTGGGGAGGGGGTATGAGGAGATGTGAAGTGAATAGTAATATCCAGTACATGTTTTCGAACTCGTTCAACACACAGCTGAGCGCTGAACAAAGACGCCCCAGTGTGGCTCGACTCTACATGTGCTTCCTGCTACTCATCCAGTAAAGATTTATTCCCTCAACAGGCCTACACAAGATAAAACAGCCCACCCAACCCAGACCAGACCAGACCCCGACTTACCCCAGCCCAACCCCGCCAACAAACCAACAGACAAACAAACAAACAAACCAAACCAAAAGAAAGAAAAAAGACCGCCACTGCTGCTCGTGTATATCTCTCTGCTCGTAACTCCGTCGCCAGTTTCTGGTTGCTGTAATAATACACCCCCCGCCCCGCCCTACCCCACCTTACCGCACACGCCTAGACGGACGGGCTAGAAGCTCTCCTCCTCCTGGAAAAACATCGTAAACGAGATGATGGTACCGTAGATCAGCAGCCCGCCGACGATGCTCATAATCATCGCCGGAACCTCGATGATGCCTGAGTGTGCCAGCATTGCCGGAAGCGCTGTACATAACCACCATCAGCCTACTGTCCCAAACCACCCCAAGCAACCCTTCACCTCCCCTTCCCTCTCCAACCCCCACCAACCCTCATCATAGCTTGGAACAGGGCAGCACTCACCAATCCCCATCACCACAAAAAACCCCGTCAAAAACCGGCCAAGGTCGACAAAGCCGCTGCCAGCGCTCTCGATAAAGTCCTCGCTGCCGGCGCAGCGCTGGCAGATGGCGTTCGGCAGCGGCGCGAGCACGTAGGTCGCGACGACGAGCAGCGGGAAGTAGTTTTGCCCGAAGAGGGCGGCGGAGAGGATGACGAGGAGGAAGCCGATGGCGAGGATCTGACGGACGGTGTTAGAACGGGTATGGTGGGGTACAGGGGACTGGACGCACAAAGGAGAGCGCGATTATGGTTTTGAGACCGGCGGCCATTGTTGCGGTGGGTGCCGGTGATGGGGGTGAAGGAGGTGTGATCTGATGACGATGGTCGTCGTGCGCGGCTGAGGTCGTCGTCGACTCGCTTGGGCGGTTCTGGGTCCTGACAAGCTGGGTCGTCGGCGTTTGGCGTCAAGCAGAGCTGGGGGACTGCTGCGGAATTCGGAGATGTCGCGGATGGGTGATGGATTGCAACTTGAGCAGCTGGTGCACGGGGATCGATCGACGGGCTTGACGTGCGTGGGCTCAGCTCGCCGCGAGTTTGGCATGCTGAAACGTGCTGTCACCTACGGCGGCGCCGCGTACGCGCCAGCACTAGCACAAGCCTGACGAGCCGCACCGCTGAAGCTCTCCATCCCACATCCCCACCATCCCCCCATTTCCATCAACACCTCGCGGCCGGAACAGCTCGTCCATCACCCGCCACCATGTTTCGCAACAACTACGACAACGACTCTGTCACCTTGTGCGTGTGCCCCCTCCCAATCGCTGCAGCAAGTACGGGCTCACTGACGCGGGCACGCCCATAGCTCGCCCCAGGGCCGCATCTTCCAGGTCGAGTATGCCCTCGAGGCCATCAAGCAGGGCTCCGCCGCCGTCGGGCTGGTGTCCAAGACCCACGCGGTGCTGGTAGCTCTCAAGGTCCGCCTGCCCACCCCCTCCCCGCCGTCACCGCCGTCGTCCTAACCACCCGCAGCGCAACGCCGAAGAGCTCGGCTCGTACCAAAAAAAGATCATCGGCATCGACGCGCACCTCGGCGTGGCCCTCGCCGGGCTCGCCCCCGACGCCCGCGTCCTCTCCAACTTCATGCGGCAACAATCCATGTCCTCGCGGCTGCTGTACAACCGCCCCGTGCCCGTCGCACGCGTCGTTAACGCCATCGCGGACAAGGCGCAGGTCAACACGCAGCACTACGGGCGGCGGCCGTACGGCGTCGGGCTGCTGGTCGCCGGCGTCGACGAGACCGGGCCGCACCTGTGGGAGTTCCAGCCGTCCGGCATGGTGCTTGAGTACCGCGGCGCGGCGATCGGTGCGCGCTCCCAGAGTGCGCGTACATACTTGGAACGTTCCTATGAGGCGTTTGCGGACGCGAGCCGCGAGGAGCTGGTGCTGCACGGGCTGCGTGCGCTGAGAGACAGCTTGGCGCAGGACAAGGAGCTGACGACTGCGAATGTTAGTTTGGCGATTGTGGGCGAGGGCGAGAAGTTTAAGCTGTATGACGGCGAGGAGGTCGCGGAGTGGCTCGAGAAGCTGGGAGATACGCATAGCAGTCGCGGCAGCTCGGGACGGGCGGCGGCAGCAGCAGCAGAGGCGGCCCCGGCTGCGGCGCCTGCTGAGTCGATGGATACTTCTGATTAAAATGGGAGGGGATCTGTGGAACCGTTACTTTCTCATGATCATGATGTTGGTGCTGGTGACGATGCTGGTGATGGTGGTGGCTATGTGGGCAGCTGTTCACAGGGTGAATAGACGAAGACATGATTGCAGACAATAGCATGCGTAATTACAGCGGTAGTCCGGGCACAGATGATGGTGAGCCACATAATTCGTGATGTTCACTCTCAATCATCCCCGACCTAAAATAGAACCCATGAGAGCAACGCAGCAAACTCTATTCAAACCCTACCAATATATACTTGATTATGAACGGCATATTTACTTGTACAATACTGAGTGAATTTCATGGAATAGCACAACGGGCTCCACAACTTATTCATTCCCATGTAGACCGGGGCCTTTCGTCCATCCCTATATCCCGTAAGTTTTCAGCCTCCGGCCAAACACTAGTAGTCTACTCTGGTTATCTCCCCCCCCGCCGATTATTAGCAAGGTTGGCGTTTGCGGGAAGCGCCGCGATGGATTGTAGAGTACAAGCTATTGATATGGTGCTGGAACACACAAGCCACAGATCGACTGCGTGTGCAGATGTTCTCATGCAAACCAACACCAAAAATTACGGTTGGTGGGGTTTTCAGAAGTCCTTCTTTACTTCCCTTTAATACCATATATATAGCTTGTACGAGTGCTGGACTGCAGGGGGATGGGCCGTGTCGTGTGTGTATGTACGTGTGCCAAAGAACAGTTGTGGATGTCGATATGGACGTGGATATAATATATTCATGTGCACACCTGCAATAACGGCTTCCCCCCCCAGTAAAAGCAATACCTTCGAGTGGAACTATCGCATCTGAGCCGACATCGCAAGCCTACATATGTACCATTTTCTGCCCAGGCCTAATATATCCTCCTCCAAGCGATACTCGGCCGACAGGCCGCTTAGTCATCCCATTACAACCTACTGCACTACATCCTCCAGAATGATTTCCACTGGCCCAGCAATCGTAGGCACCTTCAGCCTCACAACGCGACGCTTATCGATAGTGACTCAAGGCATGTCCAGCCGCACCGGTGCTGGCAGTGGTGGTAGTGGTGATAGTGCCGGTGATGTCGCGATGAGTAAGGCTGGGCCCGGCCGGGGGCTATAAAGCGCTGCCGTGCCGGACGCTATTCCACGGCCCCACTGGTAATTCTCCGTCGAGATTCCACGCACCCACGCAATTCAACGCCGCGACGTCACTGCTGCTGCTCCAACGTTCCAACGCTCCAACACCACATCACGCTCCACCCCTACACAACTGCGCTCCTCGACCACTCCGCTCCCCAACACCATGGCTTCCACAGCCCCCGAAAAACCGTTCACAGTCTGCGTCTTGTAAGTACCACCCCCACGCTCCGCACCCCTCCGCACCTTCACCGGTCCTGACTGACCTTCCGCAGCTGCGGCGCAAACCCCGGCAGCAAGCCGCTCTACACCGACGCGGCGGCGGCACTCGCGCGCGTCCTCCACGCCAACTCCTGGGGGCTCACCTACGGCGGCGGCACGGTGGGGCTCATGGGCACGATCGCATCCACGCTCGTCTCCCTCTCCGGCCCAGAAAGCGTCACGGGTATCATCCCGCGCGCGCTCATCAAGTTCGAGCAAGCCGGCGAGATTCCGCCACACTCCACATACGGGACCACGACGGTGGTGGCGGACATGCATGCGCGCAAGGCCCAGATGGCGCAGCGCAGCCAGGCGTTCGTTGCGCTGCCGGGCGGGTTCGGGACGATGGAGGAGCTGTTTGAGGTTGTTACGTGGAGCCAGTTGGGGATACATGGGTGCCCGGTGGTGCTGTTTAATGTCGGCGGGTTCTATGATGGATTGCTGATGTGGATGGATACGGCGGTGAGAGAAGGGTTCGTGAGGGGGGATTTGAGGGGGATTGTGGTCGAGGCGAAGACCGCCGAGGAGGTGGCGGAGAGGATTAGGGAATATGTGCCGCCGAGTGGACGCATGGATTTGAATTGGGCGAGTGAGGGGCCGGATGAGAAGGTGTAATGTGATGTGGTGTGGTGAGAGGGCGATGGAAGGGGCATTAGAGAGGAATAGTACAAAGCTGCTTGACGATATCTTCCGTTTATTCGGTTTACCCTGGTGTTTATCATAATGTTTTAGTTCACTTTGTTTGCGCGTGATTGTATATAAATGCTAGCCGCCCTCAAGTTGCCATCAATCTGTCTGGTTGGCTCAGTTGGTAGAGCGTCGGTCTCATATTACATGACATCTCCTCAGGAGTTGCAATCCGAAGATCGCGAGTTCGATCCTCGCACCGGACATCTTTTTGCTTGGTTCTACTACGTGTCTGTCAGTGGACCGTTTTTGCTGGCTGTGATGCTGGTGGTGGGGTTCTGCGCACGATCGATGGATGTGCCTGTCATCCCTGTCTCCACGTGCAACGGCAACTCCCGCCCAAACCTCCCCACCAACCTCAACCCTCCTCCCTCCCTCGCTCCCTCTACATACCCATCGAACCCGCACCACCACCGTCATCACCGCTACCGCAATGCCGCCGCCCCTCCGCTGTCTCCGCCTCCTCCTCCCCCACCGGCCCCTCTCCACAACCACGCCCCTCCTAAAAAAACCGCGCGCTCCCCCGCTACCGCCACGACCCACACCTCCCCCCGCGCACGAATTCACCGAAGCGTTCCTGAAGGGCTCCGGCCCAGGCGGCCAAAAGATCAACAAGACCAACTCGGCGGTGCAGCTGAAGCACAAGCCGTCCGGCATCGTCGTCAAGTGCCAGGCCACGCGCAGCCGCGAGCAGAACCGCAAGATTGCGCGAAGGATTCTGGCGGAAAGACTGGATGCGGTTGGGTATGAGGGGGTGCAGCGGAGGGTGGGGGTGGGAGGGGTGGTGGAGAAAGTGGCGGATGGGAAGGTAGGTGGGGCGAAGGTGGAAGGGGGGAAGGCAGGAGAGGGAGGGGTGGGGGGAAAGAGAATCACGAGGGCCGAGGCGGTGGTCGAGCGGAAACGGAAGAAGAAGAAGAGTGCGGAGAAGAAGCGGCGGCGGAAGTATCGGAAGCTTGCGGAGGCGGCGGGGGGCGTCGATGCCGAGGATGGGGTGGAGACAGCGCAGGACTCGGGCGATGAGTTGGAGTTGGAGGAGGACATTGTAGAGGAGGATGTAGAGGATGAGGATGCGGCTGAGGGGGAGACGGTTGTGAGTGGCGGGGAGGGAGCGGAGGGGCCAGTAAAGGGGATGAAGAAGGAGGGCGAGAGGGAGGGCGAGAAGGAGGGCGAGAAGGAGGCGGAGAAGGAGGCGGACAAGAGCCCGTATGTGTATACTATAGACCTGTACCGCTAAAATGGCTGCCGAACGGGAAGTGTACGCTGTGCTCCATAAATCCCATGCAATACGAGAGTACTAGATATAGCTGTAGCAGCAGTCTGCGCCACAGTCCCAGACAGCAAGTGCATCACCGCATCCTCAATAGATCCACCGCACCGCAGGCCAGGCGAATGCGACAGGAGCGCCGGGTTTATGCATGCATGAACCCCCGCAATCACTATTTTCGAGCCCACCTCACGGCGTTCTAAGCCAGCGACGTCCGGAACTGGAAATATAAGGAATGTGGAGGTGGGCGACTATGTGGCTGGGGAATGGAGTCGGCAATACCGGCGTGGATATAGAATAGAGTGTGCAGACGCGAACGTGTGGCTGGCGACATGCTCTTGTGTAGTTTTTGTTTTTACTGGTGTACAGCATGTGCAAGGAAATGTTAAGGCTTATCAACACGTTCAATTTCTCTGTATTTTTACTATCTTTCATAGTTTGGAAGACAGCTTCAATTTGATTAATTGGAACCGAGCCGGGGTGCCGTTAATTGCATAATAAGTCTGCAATAAAGGTGAATGCTTAACTTAACTCAGAGCTTCGACGTGAGGTAATAAAATTTACGGTTATTACTCTACACGAAAGTTTCACAGCTCTCTTGCAGCTGGTAGGAGCTCCAGCCCTCACTCGGTGTGCCGCCTATCCACAAGCGTGTTAGCGTGCCCTGGGGACCACCTAACCTCGACAACGAGAGCCGCGTTCCTGTCTCGGATCGACCTATTCTCCACGGACCACATATCCCACATCTTCGCCCACGCCTCTCCTCCGAATCCAGCACTCCCCCAACCCACAACATGCCTCCAGCAGCGCAGGAAGAAGGCGGCGGCGGCGGCGTCATGGTATTCCCCTCCCAATCTGCCGGAAGCGAGGCACAGGTGGCTGACGGCTCTCTGGCACTGTAGCAAACGATCCGGTCCGTCGCAAATGGAATCCTGATGTTCATTGCCATCAACCAGACGATGAGTGCGCATTCCGTTCTGCCGTTTTTTATTTCGGACGAGGGGCGAAAGCTGACACGGTGGCCTCGTAGAATGGTACAATGGCAGAGACTTCAGCGCCACGCCCGCTGCCCCGGGCCCGGACGGCAAGGTGGCGATTGTGAACGCGCCGCCCGCCGGGAACTTCGACGACGGCCATTGGTACCAGGCGGATGTCGAGGACTATCTGTACACGCCCGAGAAGGTGACGACCATGTGGGACAAAGGCGTCGGGATGGACATGACCATCTACCTGATGGAGTCGGTGGTGATGCCGCCGCTGGACAAGGTCCCTGCGAGCGCAAAGGTGTTTGAGGAGAAGAACATTGTGGTTGGCGACTACAGCGAACACCGCTCGGTCACCGTCGATATCCCCGCGTCGGAGTATGTCAAGGACAATGGAACGCTGTTTGCGCACATCTATGTGGCCCGCCATGGCGCGGTGATGGATCCCCACGCTGCGAACTACGACCCCGCCCAGAGCTACCGCATGCTGAAGCTGCTGAACAAGTACCAGCCGAAGAAGAAGGTGGTCAAGACCAAGAAGTTGATTGGCGGCTCTGAGGAGGAGCAGAAGGAAGATGAGGATGACAAGCTGGCGTATCAGAATGCGGATGGGAGTCCGATCATCGCGAGCTACTGGCACTCAAATTTGACGCTCGATGTGGTCGCCGACAATGGCGTTGTGCAGTACCAGACTACGCCGCCGCAGTTGAGACAGCACATTGTCCTGGAGAACACCAGGGCGAGAGATAAGACTGGACACAATGGCTGGTATTACCCAGTCGTGTTTGTCAACGAGTTCTGGCAGTTAAAGGAGCACATGTTCGAGATCAACAGCACTGTCAGGTTTGTAGCTCTATGCCTTGGGTTTATTGCCCCAGCTGACGGGTTTCTAGCACTCTGCCGTTGCACATCAACGTCCATCCTACTTCTTGGTTCAAGTTCCAGATCTACGCGTCTCTCGATGCCTCGTTCAAGCAATCTGCCCAGAACCCCAACACCGCGTTCGGCCAGAGTGCCAACACTGGCGCCGAGCTCGAGGAGTTCAAGCGGGTGCTTATCGAGACCAACATCTATCTTTTGGGAACTACCTTTATTGTATCCATGCTGCACACCGTCTTCGAGATGCTTGCATTCAAGAACGACATTTCCCACTGGCGCAACAAGAAAGACAACGTCGGTGTCAGCATGCGCACCATCCTCGCCAACGTTTTCATGCAGGCCGTCATCTTCCTGTACCTGCTCGACAACAGCGACGGCACGTCCTGGATGATTCTCATGGGCCAGGGTTTCGGCATTCTCGTCGAAGCCTGGAAGATCACCCGCACCGTGGACATCAAGATCCTCCCCGCCAGCAACATGTTCGGCTACCGCATCGCGTTCGAGGACAAACACAAGCTCTCGGATCTCGAGAAGGAGACCAAGGAGTACGACGAGGAGGCGTTCAAGTACCTATACTGGATCGCCGTCCCGCTGCTGCTCGCCTACGCCGTCTACTCGGTGCTCTACGACACCCACAAATCGTGGTACTCGTTCATCATCACCACCCTCGTCGGGTCGGTGTACGCCTACGGATTCCTCATGATGGTCCCTAGCTTATACATCAACTACCGCCTCAAGTCGGTCGCGCACATGCCGCGCAAAACCATGGTGTACAAGCTGCTCAACACCTTCATCGACGACCTGTTCGCCTTCACCATCAAGATGCCGACGCTACACCGCCTGGCCACGTTGCGCGACGACGTCATCTACTTCATCGCCCTCTACCAGAGCTGGGTCTACCGCGTCGACCACCGCCGCGTCAACGAGTTTGGACAGGGCGGCGATGACGGGCCCGCGGCTGTTGCCGGCGAGGAGAAGGAGCCCGCGCAAAAGAAGATCGAGGCGAAGGCGGAGGCGAGCGCGGTCGAGGGCGCGCCGAAGGGCGGCAAGAAGCGTCGGTGAAGGGGAAGCGTAGGTAGGTAATGTTGCGAGATACAGTTGGGTATTTATTATTGAGGCGGGATGGGACAGCGATACAGAGCATGAGTATTATGTAGTTGGACAGATGTATCTTGATAGACTAAAACACGAAATCGTGGATTATTCATGCATTGTGGTACTGTGCGCATTCAGGTGACGTGACTCGTGAGTTATCGCCGACGGCGCCGATATGCATGGTGTGCGTGCTCTAAGCGAATGCTCGGATCGTGAAACTAGCGCGCCTGGCCCTCTGCAACACGATACAACACGATACGATACGGATGAAGTCTGCATCTGTTGATAACTGAAGACGACGCGCCGATTGGACAGAAGGATACTACTTATACTGTATTACTAGCGTGTTTGCCTACTTTACACTGCGATCCAGACTTTATATAGTATTTACTTGTACAAGACTGCTGGCGCGGGGAAACTGCTACGTGATATTTACAATAGATATTAAAAGCGCCCACGTCTGCTTTCAATAGCCTCTAGAGTGTGCATGTTTCGCTGTTCTTTTAGATAAATTCAAGCTATGATAGTAGGTAGGGATAGGTATAGCAATGAAACACACAAACCACATTGCTGGGATACCCTCTGTGCCTCTTTACAGACTTCACTTCACCCCTATGGATAGCTTTTAGAGTATGGATGGCACCGCTCGCCCATTGCAGCTGCCGACGCAGTGGTGGTGGTGGCAGCAGTGGCAGAGGTGACCCTGCACAGCGCCCGTTCCGACGCATTCACGTGGCTTTGCAACATGTACGATGTCTCCGGCACATTCAGGCCGCATCGCTGCACCACCACCCTAACGCGCTGGAACCAGCGCCGGCCGTGCCCACGCCCAAAAAGCAAAACGGCCACCAGTGTGCTCTACTTCGGTCGAAGGGTGGGTTCACTGACAGAAACAGAAGCAGACCACTCTTACAATACTACGGACTTTTCATTTACTGTATGTAATGAATGTATGGCGCATTTCTCAGGGCGTGGGGCCGGGTTG